TCTCTTCTGCTGACTTTGGGCTTTGTTTGTTCTTCTTTTCCTAATTCAATTAGGCGTAATTTGAGATTGCTTATTTGGGATTTTTCTTGTTTGTTAAGGTGTGCCTGTACTGCGATGAATTTCCCTCTTAATACAGCTTTTGCCGTGTCCCATATGAGTTGGTATGGCACATCATCATTTTCATTTGTCTCCAGATATTTTTTTTTTTTTTTAAGATTTTATTTTTTTCCTTTTTCTCCCCAAAGCCCCCTGGTACATAGTTGTATATTCTTCGTTGTGGGTCCTTCTAGTTGTGGCATGCGGGACGCTGCCTCAGCGTGGTCTGATGAGCAGTGCCATGTCCGCGCCCAGGATTCGAACCAACGAAACACTGGGCCGCCTGCAGCGGAGCCCGCGAACTTAACCACTCGGCCACGGGGCCAGCCCCAAGTCTCCAGATATTTTTTTATTTCTCCTTTAATTTCTTCAATGATCCATTGCTTGTTCAATAGCATATTGTTTAGTCTCCACATCTTTGTCCCTTTCTCAGCCTTTTTCTTGTAATCAATTTCTAGCTTTATAGTATATTATGATTGGAGATGCTTGTTATTATTTCAAATTTTTAAATTTAGACACTTGCCTTGTTTCACAACATATGGTCTATCCTTGAGAGTGTTCCACGCGCACTTGAGAAGAATGTGTAGTCTGCTGTTCTCGGATGGAGTGTTCTATATATGTCTATTAAATCCAACTGTTTTAGGCTTTTCGCTTAATTTCACTGTTTCCTTGTTGATTTTCTGTCTGGATGACCTGTCCAATGATATGAGTGGAATGTTGAGGTCACCTACTATTATTGTGTTATTTTTAATATCTCCTTTTAGATTTGTTAATAGTTGCTTTATGAACTTCGGTGCTACTGTGTTGAGTGTATAGATATTTATATGCATTATTTCTTCTTGATGGAGTGTCCCTTTGATCATTATATACTGCCCCTCTTTGTCTCTCTTTACCTGCCTTATCTTGAAGTCTACTTCATCTGATATAAGTATGGCGACACCTGCTTTCTTTTGTTTGCCACTAGTTTGAAATATTGTCTTCCACCCCTTCACTCTGAGCCTGTATTTGTCATTGGAGCTCACATGTGTTTCCTGGAGGCAACAAATTGTTGGATCTTGTTCTTTAATCCATTTTGCCACACTGTGTCTTTTTATTGGAGAGTTCAATCCGTTTACATTGAGAGTGATTATTGATGTATGAGGCCTTAATGCTGTCATTCTGTCACTCATTTTCCAGTTTGCCTGCATTTCCTTTGTTTCTCATCCTGTGTGTTTTGATCTACCCATTGAATTATGCAGTTTTTCTATGACGTGTTTGTTTTTTCCTTATTTATTTTTTGTTTCTCTGTTCTGCTTTTTAGTTTAATGACTATCCTGAAGTTTGTATTCAGAATCTCATGCATAACAGTCCATTTTCTGATCTCCCCTTATTTCCTTAGTCTAAACTGATTCAGTCCCTTTCCTCCTCCCTTCATGTTATTATTCTCATACCTACTCCAACTTGTGTTGTGAGTTTATGGTTAAAGTGACAAGATTGTCATTGTTTTTGGTGTTTTCCTTCCCTTTAGCCTAATGCTATAGTTGAAGATTTGCTATCCTATTCTGATTCTGCCCATCTGTCTCCTTAGTCTGTGTTTTGTGGCCCCTTTCTCCCTTTTTTTCTTTTTTCAGGTGTGAGGGCCTTCTTGAGGATTTCTTGGGGGCGGGGGGGGGGGCTGGTCTCATGGCTATGAAGTCTCTTAGCTTTTGTTTGTCTGGGAAAGATTTAATTTCTCCCTCATATCTGAAGGATATTTTTGTTGGATAGAGTATTCTTGGCTGAAGATTGTCATCTTTTAAAGTTTTGAATATGTCATTCCCTTCTCTCCTAGCTTGTAAGGTTTCTGCAGAGAAATCTGCTGAAAGTCTGATAGGGGTTCCTTTCCAGGTTATTTTCTTCTGCCTTGCTGCCCTGAGTAGTCTTAGTCCTTCATTTTTGCCAGTTTTACTACGATATGCCTTGCAGTAGGTCTTTTTACATTGACGAATCTAGGAGATCTGGAAGCTTCCTCCACACATATTTCCCTCTTATTCCCTAGATTTGGGAAGTTCTCTGCTATTATTTCTTTGAACAGGCTTTCTGCTCCATTCTCCTTCTCTTCACCTTCATTAATACCTATAATTCTTATGTTGCATTTCCTCATTGAGTCAGATGTTTCTCGGAGACTTTCCTCGTTTCTTTTTAGTCTTAGTTCTCTCTCCTCCTCTGTCTGGAGCATTTCAACATGTCTATCTTCGATTATGCTGATTCACTCCTCTATGGTGTCCACACAAGCAATCAGAGAATCCAGATTTTGTTTTATCTCTTCCATTATGTCTTTCATCTCTAATATTTCTGATTGATTCTTCTTTATAGTTTCAATCTCTTTTGTGAAGTAGTTCCTGAACTTGTTGAATTGTTTCTCTATATTCTTTTACCTCACTGAGGTTTTTGATGATAGCTATTTTGAATTCATTGTCATTTAGTTTACTTACTTCTGCGTCCTCAGGATTGAGTTCTGGGTGCTTGTCATTTTCTCTCTGGTCTGGAGATTGGATGAAGTGCCTGATGATGTTGGAAGGACAGGTCTTCCCCATTCTGATATTATTCAGTTCCAATTACAGCCTATCACCACTGGGTGGGGGTAGAGAGCTGCATAGTCTGACCCCTCTGCCTTCAGCCAAGATGGGGTGGCGTGGGTCGGGGGAGGGATGCTTTCTCCTGTGTGCAGTCCCAGGTTTCCCAATCAGCTCTCGCTATCTGGTCTCCTGGGGTCTTGGTTTGATGGGGTCACCTGGCACGAAAGCTTTTGCCCCGTTAGAGGGCTTCCCTCTGGGCTGCAAGGGCCCTAGGGAGAACTGGGTGATTCCTTGGATGCGCGACCCCTCCCTCACTCCTTCCCTCACGGAGCCTCCTGCAGCAGCAAGCACAGTCTTTAGGGGAGGGAGCGAAGATCTCTCTTACCCCGTTCCAGCTCCTCTGAGGGGGTCTCCAGCCTCTCCACCCTCCGTCCTGTGGCTGCCGCGACTCTGAGGATTTTTGTGCTTTTAGGGTAATTTTTGTTGTAATATGGTTTCTCCTTTTTTGTTGTATGTTGGAGGGGAGAGTCCCAGGCAAGTTCACTCTGCCATGAGCTGACGTCCTGAACACATGCATTTTTTCTTCTTATACACAAATTGTAGCATACCGCAAACAGTTTCACATCATGCTTTTTTCACTGAACATATTGTCTTGGAGATCATCCCATCTCAGTACCTGAAGTCATCTTTACTCCTTTTTCCATTGGTCAAATATAGCAATTTAACCAATTCTCTACGTTAGGATGACCATGTAATTTCTTATGTAAAGTGGGACACCCGAGAGTTGAAAGGACCACTAATAAATAATAGCTACACAAAGAACAGGAGGTATAAACTGGTGCTGTTAGAAACAAATAGAACATGTGGTCATCCTATCTACCTATGATGGATATTTATGTTGTTTCCAATCCTTTGATATTACCAAATTACAATGAATATACTTGCAAATGTAGAATTTTGAACAATTCCACATGCATTGGTAGGATAAATGTCTAGAAGTGGAATTGCTGAGCATCACAGTTAATTTCTGTCAACTTGACTGGATATGGGGTACCCAAATTTAACATTATTTTGTGTCTGTGGGTTTCACTTCTCTGGAGAATTCTAATATACTGGGTCAAAGGATATGTGCATTTGAAAAGTGTGACAGAGACTGCCAAATTGTCCTACATAAAGGGTATAACAATTGACACTTCCATCAGCAGGGCATTAAAAACGGCTGCCCCACCTATTGAAAAATTTCTTCCCTATTAACTTATGATGTCATCTTTATAAATGTTTTAAGTCCTCATATGTATGTACTAAAGTCTGTTTCTGAGGTAGTCTGTTCTATTGATCTGTGTAGTTGTGCACCTAATTTAGTTTTATATTATCTTTTAATAGTAGTAATCTAGTTTCATATTACATTTTCAAAAATTTCTTAGAGATTTTCACCTTATTTTTCCAGATAATGAGAATTCTAGATTTTAATGTGTGTGCTTCATTAGGTTGTGACAATTAAGTATTTATAGCTCCCTGCAGGTAATACATCTCTCTTGCCTCTATTTCTTTGTAAAGCCTGTTCCTGCCCAATTTAAATGCCGCTATTCTGTGTTTCTATAGCACCCTGCGCTTAGCTTTATCACAGCACCTCCTATAACCTGTTTCATTTACTGAGCTGTAAGCTCTTTAAAGGTAGGCACCACACTTTACTCTCACATCTGCACAAGTTGGGAAGACGAAGGGAGAGGGGGAGGGAGAAGGGGAGGCAGGGAGGGAGGAAGCAGGGAAGGAAGGAGCGACGCAGGCAGGCACAGCGCCTGGCCAACCACCTCACTGCACAAACCTAGGGATTCCTCCTCACACCCCACGTCAAACGCTCTCCTGGAGCACAGAAACACAAGGTGAACTGTGCTCTTAGAACTCTTCAACGTGGTAGCTCTGGTGAATGGCACACAGCAGGTGCTCAGCACATATGTGCTAAACCGTACCTATGACAAACTGTCAAAGAACCTAGGAAGACACTAACAAGCTCGAATGATGGGCTGCACTCTTAAATACAAAGGGCATATTCTAGAAATGTGACCCCAATTTCACAGAGATTAAATGAGGTTCATGGATGAGGTCTATTTTCCAACTGACAGTTTATGCTAGGTAAAACAGTCTCCAAAACAATAAACATCTACAAGAAACACTTACTACCTATTCAGGCCGTTCAAAGTGTGAATTAAGTTAATTATATTCTTCAAACTTTTGAAAGAATTCTGTGAAAAGAAACCTATATGGTGCTCCAACTATACTTTTAAAAATACTATTTTATTTATACTCAAGTATGAAAAAAATGGCTGTACTATCATGTTTACATACATACCAATATTGGAAACAGGGTTTCATAATGAATCACATCTAAATTTTATAAAGAACACATAAACATTAAAACACTGATTGGTTACAGAAAGCAGACTGGGGTAAAAAACCATTAGCTATCATTTTCATGTTCATTAAAGAGCAGCACCCTCTGAGAAGAATCAATTAGTAATATTCATCTATACTGCAAAATAATATATACATAGGAAAGTTAGTGATTGTACTGATTTTATTACTTTTACTAAGCCATTTTATCTTCCTTATACTCAAAGCAAAGAAATAAAACAATATGAAGAAAAATATGTCCTCATTATTATTCACAATAAAAAGGGTTTGCCACATTCTGCAGGCCTGGGTGTATTGTACAAGAGGGAGCACTTAGTGGTTCAAGTGGATCAAGGTAACATTTTGATTCTGACGCACGGACAGAATCTCCTCTGTATTTGGTGACTGGACTAGCTCCATGGGAGCTGTGAGAGACTGAACCATTTCTGTGGTATCCCCAGATCTCACTAAATAAGAAAAGGCCCTACACAAGAAAAGATAATCTGTCCAGACATTATATCTATAGGTTCCTTCTTTAGTGTAAGGTGGAAAAGGGGACCCTTTCTTGAGTACACGGATAAAAGCACTGTTGTGGTCTACAGATGGCTGGATTGCTATTGTGTCTGTTATAATGAAGACAGGGTATACATCGAAACTGCTGGCAGATTAAGAAACTTCCACAACTTGTCTCAATTCTTCAAATAATGGAGCAAGTTCCTTTTCTAGGCTGACAATTAGTCCTAAAACAAAGAGATTTTAAAAATTAAAACATTAGAAAAATGTTCCTGAAAAAGTCTGACTTAACCTCCCTCTTGTCAAAATTTACTCACTAAAAAGTAAATAAGACATAGTTTATTCCTTGTAACTTAAACAAAATATTGTAATTCTAACAAAGTAACCAAAATACCCATATTCTGTATACAGTTTATTTTCATCTATTATTAAAGTAGACAAATGAAAAATATATGTATTAGAAGACCAAAAAATGAATTGTACACACTATAATTTCGTTATTTTTGAAAGGAAAACCTTAATTTATACCTTATTGTTTCAAAATCTGCACTGATTCAGAAGTAATACACATGATTTTTACTAAAAATGGCACATTTTTTTCCTGAGCAAATTTTAATGGACTTTATCAAAAGATAGGTAGATAGGATGCTTCAATCTTGAGCAAAAAAAAAATCAGAAACTTATTTTATAAGTTGAATAAAGCTAAAGCATAAATGGGTATTTCAAATTTTAAAAATTACTTTCAAAGATGAATGGTGGGAGGATAAAACATACACTTCCATGTTTAAAAAGAAGTTCAGTGATCAATTTGGAAGACAAACTAGTCTAGAAATGAGCATATCTAGCTTCTCCTTAGTTTACCAGAGTGCAAGGCTATACACCTTAGACGCTGCTTGTTCTACGTGCACACGAAGATCTCCCCCTCTCTCATAGAATGTTAAAAGCATCTTGGATTCTCCAGGAAATGTTCCATGCACTAAAATATACTTCCGTACATTACTGTCCATTTATAACAACTGATGACTTAGTATGTGATGGGGAATTATCACAACTGAGGTTTAATATACTTAAAATATTGACACCACTGCTATCCTAGATAATTTACAAAGTGTTTTCACGAATAGTATTGTACAGATCAGAAACACTTAGAAATGGAAGAGCTACAAGAGATCATCAAATCTAACCCCTCATTTTAAAGATGAAGAATCTAAGGACAGGTTTCAGAGACATAGCTGGGAACAGAACATGCTCAAACAGCTTGGAAAGAAAAAAACAGAAAAGCAATGTCTAACAGTTCTGAACAGCAGACAAATATGAAGGAGACAGCCCTAGAAAAATCCCACTTTATCCAAAAGGGAGTTAAAAAATTACAATTCAACTGAACACTGCCATTTTACAACATAAATACCCTGTGAAAGCTACTGGATGTAACAGGATCTTACTCTCCTGCACAGAAAGGACAGCTTCCTCATGTTTGTGCTCAAATTCTTCAACCCGCAAGAAGGTGAATGTTCATCTTACTCACACTCTTTAAATTCTCACTCACATTCATCTTTCCCAATATTGGTCCAGATTTTAAAAACTCTAATAGATGGTCTGTATGGAATAACTCATCCTTGATCATTCCACGTATTTTGTTTGATTATCTTCTCTACTCTTTTTGTTTTCTTAAGCCGTTTTAATGTGAGCAAGATGTAGCATTCAAGAAGTAATTTAGGGGCCAACATGGCACCAGGTGGCAAGCCATGCTGTGGTAGGCGTCCCACGTATACAGTAGAGGAAGATGGGCATGGATGTTAGCTCAGGGCCAGTCTTCCTCAGAAAAACGAGGAGGACTGGCAGATGTTAGCTCAGGGCTAATCTTCCTCGAAAAAAAAAAAAAAGAGGTAATTTAATTTTCCCTCCTATCTTAAAGGATCAGTTACCCAAACACTGTCTGATCTGAACTAGAAAATAACCCCATAAGATGGAGAAAGCAGGTATTAGCTCCATTATAAAGAGATGAAAAATAGAATTCAGAGAAGTTACTTTTTCAGAGATAAGCAACAGATGATGGAGCTGCGCCATGAATTCAGGTTTTCTGACCCCAAATCTACTATTTCTATCATATTAGACTGCTCAGATACGGTATTATAAAGAATTAAAAGCTATATTTGAGAAAAAACACACCTGTATTGGCATTGCTGCTGGCTATGAAACTCACCACCAAAGGTAAACGATTGAATTGAACCACCTAAAAAGAAAATAGGATCTAAATATGTCGTGTTGTGAAAAGGAAGTATAATTCAAATAAAATATCTTAATCTTCCAAAAACTTGTAAATGGTCAATGTGTAAGATACTAGTCCAACATCATGGAATTACATCTTGAAATATGAAAGAGCTGAAAATAAATATTTCCATAAAACAGAGTTACTGATTATCTCTTAGAGACATTAATACTACTTCTCCTGGAAAGTCTTGAAGGTAGGACTGTGTCTTCTTCATCTTTTTATTTCTACAGCCCAGCAGAGTGTCAATTACATAGTAGGAGCTCAATAACTGATAATCAAATGGCTAAAGGCAGTATTTCCCAATCATTCAAACAGTTATATCTTCATGATTTTTCTGCCTCCTGTGTACCACTATAAATTAACTTTAAATCAACTATCTTTTTAAAAACCTTAGTTTCAACCCAATCTTTACCAGTGAAATTAAAGGGCAGATGGGTTGGTTATCTTTTGCCTAACACACACTGAAAAAAATACATAACTTTTAAAATAAAAAAAATTTTCTTGTGTATCATCAGTAGTATATGAACCACACTCTGAGAAACACTGCTCTAAAGCAGAAGTGACTAATTTATTCTGAAGAAAAAAATGCAGCTGGCAATCAAGAGGTATGTAGCAACTAATTTCTTTCCCACTATTAACAACATCACTGATTATATATATTCCAAACCAAATGAACGAATTAGCAGCAATAACAAATTTAAATAACTTATCATTTGACTCAAGAAATTTTTTATCTGTTACAACAAAAGTGTCATTTGAGAAATTACAGTTGCAAGCTAAGGGCACCACCTACTGGAGGTAGTAGTGACCTGACTTACGCTTTTCACAATAACATGTACGTTAGTATTCAATCTTTTAAACTGCTTTTCCATATTAATTAATTCCTAGTATAAAATGTGAAAAAAATTACTACAGTTTAACACAACCAATTTGAAGGCTAACATTTTAAAATTCCATCCCCTTCAAAACTAAAATTTAGAATGGTAACTATTTTACATAGAAGAAATAACAACAATAGTGGAAATCAGTAAACCATTCAATAACGAACTTACCTGGTAGGTGTTATAGTAACAGATGATACTTTTATTTTTTGAAAGTCCAAGTTTGCTCCCTTGGTCTGTTGCAAGGGCAAAAGTAGATAAGAAACCAGGTCTCAAAGCATGCTCGGGAGCATTATCATTGGCCACTGGAAGTACAAATGATTTAAATAAAAATTATGCAGTGGATATGGTAGGGAGAAAATTTACAGCACCTTCTTTTTTTACATAAATCTGTAAAAGATCAAGCACAAGTGTTATGCTTCACAATATTGAAAATCGTTATCACTAACTGAGGCTCCAACGATTTAGGTGGAAAAAACGGCTCAATCAGAAGTTGAGTGACCATAACGAAGTGAAAAAATGCTGATTCTCACAATTTTTTTTATTTTTACAAGAATACTAAACGTTTATATTTTCTTAATATCTACCTTAAAACAGAAATTAATCAGTATACTTAATAAACTGAATATTTTGGCTGAGAGCCAAACTAATAAAACAATGAAAAAAGTTTCAAAAACCTTTGTGCTCATAAAACCCACAGTAGTATCATTTATAGATAATAATTCTGCAGGCGGTCATCTGTTTTAAGTTTCTTTCTCTCATTAAAAGGTCTGAATGGAGTTAGCTGTACCGATAAGTGTAGAGCTTAAGGCTTTAACACAGAGATCCTCAGAAAGAACATTACAGCTGGAAAATCTCTGAGATTATTTTGTTCAAAGCCCTCATGACAGAACAGAGAAACGGTAAGTGACTTGCCCAAGGCCACCTATGTTTTATGGTGGGTTAGAAAGCACAGTGGACCACACCATTAGGAGATAACTGGTTCTACTGTTATCTTGTCACTGACTCATGGGCAACTTTGGCTGACAATGTACTCTTTGCACTTAAGCATCTTGGTTTATAAAACTGAAGAGCTAAATCAGGTGACTTATAAACTACCTTTCAATTCTAAATTCTAAAATTATCTGACACATATGATAATCCCAGGTGGAAAATAAATTGTAAGCAAAATGTGCAGAATGTTATTTTTCTTTGGTAAAGCTATTACAGCATCCCAGTATAATTAGGAACATACATTCTGACGATACCCTAAGACACAAGTAGTAAAAATGGTCTTCATACAAAGCCTCTGTGGCATCACATATATACTTTAAAAAAAAAAAAGCTGAAAATCAGGTGAAAAATTCTTTTTTAGGTTAATAAGCTTTTGTTTAGGTGAAAAATTCCTGTTCAACTCTGGTTGATTAAAGTAGTTGTGAGGTTTAAAAAAATCTTATTTCCAGTAAGGGAGCAGAAAACCAAGAAAGATTAAACAAAACAATCAATGAATGCTGATTCAAATGAATGGATGTTTATCCTAAAACTACCGGTGATATTAATAAAAAATATATAGTGCAAGGGGTATGTGTGTATAATACATCCAGTGGCATACATGCCCACTCTCATCACTTAGATTTACTAATAAATCATCTTTAAAGGGAAACTAGGTCTGTGATAAATCCATGCTTAAACTCTGGATGTTAACATGATACATTTGACATGTACTAAGTTATAAGTTCCAACCCAGTCTTTAACACGCAAAAGCAAACATTTCCCCCTAAACTAACTTACTGAACTTACTGAAATAGGTTTTATATGCTTGCCTTCTGCACTATTCAGATATAAACACATTTTTATTCAAAAGCAAACATGACACTAGCATGTAAGTGCTCAGTTTACCTTTAATGACAGGCACTCCATCTCTATCTGACACAACAATAGCATGAAGCCCTTCAACACTAGAAAGAAGAAAAAATTAAAATATTATCTCAAAATATGCACCTCAAAGTCATAATGGTAATTTTCACATATATTTCTGAAAAACCATGGAAACTCAATTATTGACATCATAAGCTCCTCTAATGTGTTTGCAAAAACTCTTCCAGAAACTGAATGTGTATTAGTGACATGTTTATAATCTTTACAAATTTATGTAGTTTATCAATGAAGATCTAAAACATAGCTCAGTCTCCACTAAAATTGCTAATTATCATTCCATGGTTTACAAAACTATGACAGGTTATCAGCAGTGGATACAGTGACAAAAAGATATTTTTCTTTCTCTCATTTATTCCAATACTAAGTGCTCAGTATCTGTAGCACTTAATATTTATGAGACCATAAGCAAAAATAAACATAGTCTCTGCCTTCACCAAACTTAAAGGAGAGTGGCTATCAATTAAACAATCTCACACTACCAAATGTAACACTAGGACTGTGGCAAGCGCCATCAAGAGATCCGTGGGGGGCAGGCCCGGTGGCGCAGCAGTTAAGCGCGCACATACCGCTTCGGCAGCCCGGCGTTCGCCGGTTTGGATCCCGGGTGCAGGCTTGGCACGCCATGCTGTGGCAGGCGTCCCACATATAAAGTAGAGGAAGATGGGCACGGATGTTAGCTCAGGGCCAGTATTCCTCAGCAAAAAGAGGAGGATTGGCGGGAGATGTTAGCTCAGGGCTAATCTTCCTCAAAAAAACAAAAAAGCTCAGTGGGGCTATGAGAGCCTATCAAATGAGGGGTTGAGTTAGACAGGTAGGTCAGGGAAGGCTTCCCTGAGGAGGAGATACCTCAGCTGAAATGTTACAGTGCTGATTAAGGCAGAAGGGGCAGAAAGATCATTCTAGGCTGAAGGAACAGGAAAGAAAGAAGGTGGTCACGCAGTAATCCTTTCAGCCATGCCTACGTAAGAAGAGTGAGTAGAATGGTCTAGACTATAGATCTGAACTTAGAAAGACCTGGGTTCCAGTCCAGGCTCTCCTGCTATTTATGCTACTTTGGGCCAGTTACGAAACCTCTCTAAACCTCAGTCAACACTCTTATTCGGCTATTGTGAAATTTAATAAAATAATGCAGCATGTAAAGTAGAGGCTTATACATAATTAACACTCAAAGCTATTAATTATTATTAACCCCAGGGTGTCATCTGTTCACACCGACAATGACATAATTTACCACTGCGGTCTAAGTACTAACTTATCAGTGAGACTCCCTAGAGCACAAGTGTTAATTACAGTGTGAACACATATTCAAACTTTTTTACAGAAAATCTATAGCCTTGTAACTATCTTGCAATATCTGTAGAAAGCAACTCATATGTTCAGTGTTCCTACAGTAACCAAGAATTATCCATTCCTTATTGTGTTAACCTTATTGTTTTAACTTAGGGATGAAGAATATTTATATTAACTTAAGATACTGCAATTAAATTTTTTAAAAATCCCATTGTTAAAAACTTTTAAGTCAGAGAAGTGTTATTAAAATTTGAGGAGAAAACGTTGCACACAAAACCATTTACCTGTCTCACAATAAAAATAAAAATGATGAAACAATTGTGTATAAATATTTACTGGCATTATTTTCTATTATTATTCAATCCTGAAATTATCTATGGATTAAAACACACTCTATAAAATTAATACATAAAACAAATATATTCTTCTAAGTTAAAAAGTAGATTATACAAAAATATATTCTACAAATACCTGTATACACACAAATCACTTTGCACAGTTGTCAACTGTTTGAAACAGGAAAAGTTTAGAAACCTAACTGTCCATCAAGAAGGACAAGTTAAATAAGTTACGACACACATCTACAATGAATGGCATACTCTGCAGTCATAAAAAACCAAGCAGCAGCTCTTCATGTACTGGGAAGGACTGATCTCAAAGTTCTATTGTTAAGTGCAACAACCCATAATTTTGAATAGGGTGTACATGAAGATACAATTTATGTAAAGGCATGTGTAGACATACGCGTGCATATGTGGCAATGGATTAAATGTTTATGTCGCTCTCAAATTTCTATGTTGCAACCCTAATCCCAATGTGATGGTATTTGGAGGCCTTTGGAAGGTAATTAGGCCATGAGGGTAGAGATCTCATGAGTGAGATGGTGTCCCTATTAGCAGCCAGAGAGCTAGCCAGCCCTCTTTCCAGGGAGTACAGATATGAGAAGTCTGCAATCTGCAACCAGGAAGAGAGCCCTCACTAGAAACCAACCATGGTGGCACCCTGATCTCGGACTTCCAGCCTTTACAACCGTGAGAAATACATTTTGGCTGTTTATAAGAAATCTAGTCTACGGCCCTTTGTTACAGCAGCTTGAACTGACTAAGACATGTATAGGTGTAAATACGTGTGCTTATATACATGTCTGCTCGTAGGTGCATAAACTCTCTCTGAAGGCAACGACAGGTGCCCCTGAGATGAGAACGTGTGGCTGGAGGGCAGGGATGGGAAGCTTCTCACTCCACATCCTTCAGCCAATTTGAATCTTGAACTTTAAGAATGTATTGCCTACTCAAAAAATAAGCAAATTAAAAAACAGGGAAAGAGTACTACAAAGATGTTTAGAAATATCTGTGTCACCATAGGTAGCTTCCTTTTTCTGATTTTCATGGTAATTAATTTAAAAGCCAACTAAGGCACTAAAAGAGGAATTAGAAATAAAGGGACTTTCTTTTTAATGGATTTCAAATTCACAGATAAATGTCCAACAAAGTAGAAAAATCATTCACATACTTCATTACCCATTTAAAGAAATCAGGTCACAAATATAAAATGTGTTTCCAATACTGAACAAAGAATAACATGAACAGATTTCATGAATAATTGAAAATAATTATGATGCATTAATAGGTACACTACATTTTTAGAAGGGATAATTTAAAATTTATGAAATATTCTGAAGAACTCTAAACCTTAAGCTTACTACAACAAACATTTTTATTCCAAAAAAGCAAATGTTACATTAGTAATTGAAAACATTAAATATGTTTTATTCATATGATGAAACATTTGACTACTTTGAAACACATACAATTGTGACAAAGTCTGAGGCTGCTTCAGATCACAACTAGATTTTCAAGTACAAATCCAAGAACTATATTTAACACAGAATAAAAAAATGAACAAAACCACATCCCATTAACATCTGCAGCTGCCTGACGGTTGCTGAGAGGAACAGCAGTATAACTACTAAAAGCATGGACCCACAGCTCTGAAGCCAGGCTGCCTGTGTGCAAATCCCTTAACTTCACATACATCTAGTAACAAATCAAAGTGTATATCCCACTACTTTTCTTTGTAAGTGTTCAATATCATTATTTCTTCATTCTTTCAGCTCTTGGCATTCAATAAGCCTACTTTAAAGAAGGGTCATGGATATGAATCAAACTGGCCGTGGTCATTACAGAAAAAAAAAACCACAACACACATGATACTAATCTCTTTCCTTCCATTATGAAAAGACTTTCATTATGTTTTTACAAATGTCAATTATGCCTCTGTTCCCATATTTTGTTGCCAGTGTGGTATTCCCATCCCACCCCCCTGGCCAATTTAGCATCCTTGAAAGGATGCTAAACCTTCAACAGGTAAATACAGAAAGCACTCATCTTTTACTGTTCCAATATGGTCAACTTTTGGTTACCACAGTTTAGTTAAATAACAAAACTTCTCCCAACAGCATGGGCCAAATTTCAGTAATTATGGTATATTAACTGAATAACTGCATAAAGCACAAACTTCACTAATTCTTTAGTTCACAAATCACTATGTAAATAACTTTGTAAATGACAGATGCACACTGTGGTCAGCAACCAATCACATCACTTCTTTCAAAGTGTGTTGGTGACTGGTCACTGAGCATCTACTATTCAGTTTATGCAGAGATAGCAAAGCATGTAGTTTCATTATCTCCTTGTCTTCCAGCGATAAACCATGTGACATAAAAAAAACCAAGAAGATAACTGAAATAGGGAACTGTCCATTAAAGATGAAATACAGCCAAGAAATGAAAAGTGATAATGCTAGAAGTGAAATTCGAATAGAGAGTAAATGAAGGTACATAAGAGTGAGCTGTGGAAATGCTGACACTATCGCTGTTGTGCACCAGATGTGAAGCCAGAGGAACTCAGTGAAGGAGAACTTATTGACATAAATGAGGAAACTGGCTATGATGAAAAGGATGAAGACATAGCAGAGGAAGTGACACCGGCAAAAAAAACTTCACATTAAAGGAACCCTCAGAGAGATTTCACAACATTGAAAGGACACAGGAGAAAAGGTTGGAAGCTAATCCAAACTATGCCAATTTGCCAAGACACAGAAAAGACGCCTGTTTCATATCTTAAGGCTATATCTTTCATATGTCTTATGGTATATGAAAACAAGTAGGAAAGAGTGTCCAAACTACTCTTGTTAAGTTTTTTACAAAGAAATAAACACTCTAATTCTCAATGTTTCTACAGTTTTAAATTATAATGTATTAAACAAATATTAGTTTTAGCATTTGTTTCCATTCCCCTAAATATAACCAACAACATGAAAGGGTCTAATGTTTAGACAAAATTTTTTAAAGGTTACAAAACAACTGTCATTTTCCCACTGCTTTCTAAGACTGCTTTAGACACTTTCGGCTTGAAAGGCCATTTCTGCGCCCTGCACTAGCGTGCAAAGCTGGCACTGCCCGTACTGGTAATGGCCAGGCTGAGAGCAGCACCAGCAGCTTGTCACTCTGGGCTGCCAGTACCAGGAGGAAGGGGGCAAAAATGAACTTAAGTGTTTCATGAACGTGAAATCAACGGTAACAATTATTTAACACTTCAATAGTGTTTTCTTCCTGAATACGGAAGAAAAATACAGATATAATAAAACCAGAAGATTACATTTATTTCTAGTCGTCTGTAATCCGCCTAAAGGCACAAGCCAATAGGCAAACCACACCAAACAACTCAGGCAAAAATCCAAACAAGAGTGTTTTTTTCCTACCTACAGAAATAAAGTGACATCTAAAACCTTTTGAACTGCAAACAGATTTGGAAGATAAGAAATAAAACAAGGAACTCATCACATATTCTGCTGTATTATCTCAAATGCTGTTCAATTATTCCGGAATGTGAAAATGGATGTCTCAAGTTACAGTCCCCTCTCATGCCCTTAACTCTAAGGTATCATTTCACATCAAACTAAATGTGAATTTTAATTCGACTAAAGTGACAGTCCTTTGGCTCAGTAAAATATCTAAAAGGAAGTGTGCTGTCCTCAACACAAGAGCCTAATTTATAAAATGGTGCATCAAATGGACTATGGGCAGGCAAAAGAAAGCCTTGTGATTTTTCAAAGTATGAACTACTGTCTAAGTCTAGCATTTTTGGGTTATATACACTTGGTAATTAGGTCTTCAAATCAATATTAAAAGTAAAGGCAAGTTCTTAGGTTTTTTCCCTTAAAATTACTCTTAACTACTTCAAAGTATAATTCAGTAAACTACTATGATAGTATATTTGAAAATTCAAATGGCAAGAAATCTGAGATCTGGCCCTCTGGCATTCACTAGCTGTTTAAATTTACGACAAATCCCATAACTTCTTTGGGCCTCGTGTTATTTACTTGCAAATTCAAAGGACATCTCTTGTAGGGTTATGTTAGGTATTTGAAAGTGCTAAATAATAGCATAACATACACATAATATTAGTCTAAAATAAACAGAAACAAAATACTACATAAAATCAACATATGTTATGAGGAAATTATTTAATAACGAATTAGTAATGTTTTACCTTGGTAATTTTTTATACAGGAATCGCTTTAGATCCTGAAAGAGAATATAAAAAAATCACATTATAATAATATGCCTTGAACTGGTTCTCTAGATACTGTCCTATCCACATTTCGGGTATCTCAAGTCATCATTCATAATCTTTCTTGCTTGTGTTTTTATCTGTCTCTTTCTGATTTTGATACTTATAGTTGTGTGACTTAAAGCAAATTAACCAACCTTTTTCTCTAAGCCTCAGGTTCATTATTTGTTGAGAAGGGATAATCATAAAACCTATGTCATAAGATTATTTTTCAAGTTTATTGAGATTATGCATGTAAAGTAATTAGCATATCCGGAAATAGGAAAGACAAATATAGATTAGCTATAAAAGCAGATCATACTTTTCATATTATTTTGCATCCTATTACTATTCACTTGAGAATATATTATGAACATCTTCCCGTGTCCACAGACAGGCTTTCTAACATCACTTCGATGATCGTGGGTAAGTTAATCAACTTCTCTGAAACTCAGTTTCCTCACGACTAAAGATAAATGACGACATGTGTCAAGTGTTAGCACAGACCCTAAGCAGGACTAAGGAAACAGAAGACTATTTAAATGTTGTCTCATTTCGCTGTCTCATCTGGGGAATTTCACTGACAATCCAGGTATCAATTATGAGGTCTAGAGAAGTAAATCAGATATCTGTCCCTAATCCCCACTATTCTCCAAAACTGAATGTTTATTTTATTTCACATTGTCACCACCAGCTTATCTTTGCTCTCATCTTAACACACACAAAAAAACGCAACTCATCCTGTGTCATCCGAAATCCAGATCTCCTCAGTCCCTTCTTAGTTTCCACTAATGGCAATACCAATCCTGTTATCTGGGTTTGAAACATAGAGTAACATATAATCTTAACATCACATGTGTCACTTTCAAATCACTTGAGAAGTCAAATGTTTTTAAATTGATCCCTTCTTCTTTTCAACTGACATTATAACTTAGGTTCATTTTATTATTTATGATTTGCATTAGCCTCCCAATTGGTATGCTGGTCTCCTGTTTCTATCCCACAGAATTCTACAGGGTGCTAATAATCACATCATGTCCCTTCACTAAAGCCATGACTGCAGTGATTCTCAACCCTGGTATGGAAGATACCTGGGAAGGAGAAAAATAAACACTGATGCCTGGGTTGGAGGTGCTCCCCAAACCATTCCCTGGGCAGCCACGGTTGAGAACCACGTTTACAGGGCTCTCCACTGTTTACTGAATTATGCGAAAATTCTTTACACATTTGAGGCTCTTTACAATACGGTCTACAACTAACTTTACAGTCCTGCTTCTTACCACTGCCTCACACACAGCCTCAGCCCCAGCTAAACTGGACTACTCTCAGCTCCTCCACACACATCGTTCCCTTTCCTATCCCCCTAATTTGCTTTCGCTCTTCATTCTACTAGTAATATTCCCCGTCTCAATCTTACTTTTAACAAAACTGCTACTCATTATTTAAAGCTAATCTCAACCACCAAATACTCCAAATACGCTTTCCTGATAAACACAAACCAGATGTAATTCCTCTCTCCTTTGAATTTTCACACAATAATGCATGGACATCTAAGTACTTTTTTTTAAAACTTTAAAAACCCTTAAGCAGAATTATACCTTAATCATCTTTATTCCACCCACAGCCTTTATTATAGAAACCTTTGCAAGGCAGATGCACTAAAGATATTTAGTAATTTGATTATGCCTGAAGAATAATAAGGTCTCAAAGATATAATGGAAGACACCCAAGAAAATGGAGTGATAAAGGCATAAAAAGTTGCTAAATGTCGAAACACAATCTTGCAAGCTAAAAAGAAAAATCAGATTCATATTAACATTGAATGACCATTTAGCGTAGCAGTTAAGAGCATGGACTCTGGAGCCAGACTGCCTGGGTTGGCATCTTGACTCCACAACTTACGAGCTGTGTAACCTGAGGCAGGTTACTTGATCTCTGTGCCTTAGCATTCTCATCTATAACACAGGAATAATAACACCGCCTACCTCAGAAAAGCTGTTCTAAGAATTAAACGACTATACGTTGTTCAATGTTTAGAAGAACACTCAGCATGTATGAAGCAAAACAACAACAGGATGTTAAATATAAACAGCAGTTAACAGTATTAATTCCCTGATGTTTCTAGTAACTAGTACAATTAAATTCCCTAAGCCCAGAATTTCGGTTTTATCGCTGTGCTTTTAAAGAGCCATCGATTAGAAATCATCTCAAGTCGCTACAATGAACCTAGCGGAACATCATGACCACTTACTGGAAAAAAAGCTTCGGAGCAGCAAACCACCGTTTAGAAAGTCAAACGGTAAATATTCAGAGCCTCTCTTATGGCCCAGGACTGAGGAGTGGGAAGAATACAATTCCTCGACCTCAGGCACCTTGGTGTCCTCCACCCCCATTCCAGCAGAACCTCAGGACCCCGCAAATCTATTCCTATCAGTCACTCACTCAGATCCTAGAGAAAATCAATCATGGAGGGCTACAACGAAGCAACTGCTACCCGGCAAGCGCCTCCTCGGCCGCCGGCGGCCCCTCCGAACTCCCCACCCTCCTTCCCCCGCGTGGTGTGAACTCACATCCGCCATGACGAGCCCCTCTCTCCCGCAGGATCAAGCTCCACGCCTGGAAGAGAAACTCCTGGTGACTCTCCCCTCAAGGCTGCCTCGCCCTCCCCACCCCAACCTAGCGAGCGCGGCCGGCGCTCCCCGGGCGGCAGGAAGGCCGCAGGGAGACGGGGCGCCTTACCTCAGCCACTGCCCCTCTGCCCGCAGGGTCTGGGCCCAAAGGAGGGGCGAAGGGTCGTCCGCTCGCCTCCGCCTCACTGCCCGCGCTCCTGCGGCCCAGGCCTGGACACCGGGCTAGGTGGCTCCAGCGACCCGGGTTTCTAGGCTGCCCGGGCCTCTCAGCTGTCACTTCGGGGACAGCTTCAAAGACAGGCTGCTCAGAAAGCCGTCGTCACATGACTCGTGACCTCCGCCGGCCTACAGGAAGCACTTCCTACGCCTCCGCCCCCGGTGACACGAGACTTCCGGGCAGACGGGGCGGCAACCCGGAGGGCGCGGCTGCGCCTGCGCCCCGGCCCGGCCCTCCGCGGGCTGCCGCCTCCGCCTGCGCTTGCGCTTGCGCCGACGTCGGGTCGTCGGTCGTCGGGTGGAGGCTTCTCCCGAGACTGCCGGGCCCTCGAGCCCCCCGGCTCGGGCCTGCAGCGGCAGACTTTTGTGTGGAGCGGGTGCATAGGTTTCGTTAGTTCTTCGGGGCTCCTGATTTAACGTTAAAGCCTCTCCTCGTAGGTGAAAAGCTTGAAGGGATGGTGTTAGGGCTGAACAGCGAGCACGAGGCTGCCGTGATCAGAAGCCCGGGTCAGGAGGCCTCCGACCCATGCCCTCGTTAGTCCGCGATCGCGGGGCGCCCGCGCACGCTCACTCGGGGCCGCGTCCAGGCCGCGCCCGGGGGCGCAGGGCTCCGGGGCGCCCCCGGTCCCGCGGGCCCCTCCAGCCTCTACTCCCAACGCCTCCCGGTGGCGGGCAGGCAGCCTTCTCTCCCTGCCTCTTGGGCGGCTGTGCCTTGGAAGCGCCGCCCATGTTATTTTGGGTCTGGGGCCTTGCTGGGTTGCACATTTGACAAAAACTTAGAGTAGGTGGTACATGAAGTCTGTGGGAGCTGGCTTACAGTCGTCTTCAACTCCAACCCCTAAAAGTGGGAGCGCAAACGGAATTAACGCTAGCCAAGACGTGGTGAGAGAGTTGGATAAAACGGAGAACTACAAAGCTCTCAAGGATTACCAGCGACCTCCTGATCCTTACGAGCGATCTTAGCAGTTCCACAGCCGCTGACATCGTTGACGATCACTTCCTCTTCCTTATTTAAACCCCTGGGTTTCTTAGCTTCTGGGACACGGCACAAGCTATTTAGGTCCTCACTCATTCTAGGCTCCTAACTCTTTAGATAAAGGCATTTAAATCTCGTTTGATTTCTCGGTGGTTTTTCTCTTTCCGCGGTGTCCTGAGAACGCGTCTTCATCTGTACCTTCCATCTGAGTTCGGGGTTCACACCTTCAGTTGCTTGTTGGATGCTGGCTCTTTCCACCTACGTGTCTTACTGTCAGCTCTGACTCAAGCGCTGTAAAGACTTCTCTGTAACTGTTTCTCCTGACCTACGTCTGCTTGGTTGCAGGATTCTATCAGTCAAGTACCATGTTTGCTCTTTCCTTTTTGTCCTCCTTTCTTCCCTGATGATTTTTGCATTTTTTTTCAGTTCTTCATTCAAAGCATTATTCTATTCAGCAAGACTATATTAATAGCTACTTAATAACGGCTAGATAAACCTGAAACAATGCACATTACTGTGTTCAGGAGTCTTTAGTGATGCTCCGTTACAGACAGTGATGAAGTGGACAGTCTTTAATCTGGCACTAACATATTCTATTTCACTTCTGAATGCATTCTAATGTGAATCCTTTACTCCAGTCAAACTGACTGCCTCACCTTTCCATCAACATGACTTTTATCTTCTTATACTTGTTCTGAACGTTTCTTTAATCGAAATGTTTCTTTCTCTTGTAAGAGAGGAAAAACTTCCTTCTGCCCTCTTAGGTTCTGTGGCTGAGCCCAAGAATTAAACTGACATAGACAGATTAACAGGAGAAAAACACAAATGTATTTAATACTTTTACAGGTACATGGGAGCCTTCTGAAGGAAAGTGAAGATCCAGAGAAGCCGGTAGGCCCAAAAGCTTATATATCTTTGTACACAAAGAACGACAAATTGTGGGGATGTCACAAAACAAAAAGGCTTGGGCTAGGGGCAGTAAATTGTGGGACAGCGACTATGAAATATATGAGGGAAATTAATGGAAGATAAGGGCTATTTTAGTCGGTTTGTTTGTACAGGTCCATCTGCCATCAATCCTGTCTGGGATGGTAAGAACGCTCTCTTCCTGGTGGGAGGAGGGCACCTTCCTCAGAGGGTCAGACCGGCCTTCCTGTATCTGCTGTTTCTTAGTGCCTTCAGTTCAAAATAATCAATATGTCAAAGTGGCATATTTTGCAGTGGCATGTTCTGAACTCCTTCATCCTCTACCATAGCTGTTTAAATCTTGTTTCCCTATAACATCTTCTCACCCATCACATTCTTTTGAACGCTACTATATACTGCCAAGACTGATTGAGAGTTATTTGTGCATAATTATATGTCACAGTTTGGGTTTGTTTTCTCAATGAGACCGTAAGGTCTGGAAGGCTGGGTCATGTCTGAGTGTTTTCCAGTTTCTTACAATGCCTAACTTTCTTGCGCTCAGTAGGTACTCGTTCAACATTTGTGGAATAAAAGTGATTAAAAGAAACCATTAATCCTGGCCCTAACTAAAATTTCTTATTTTCCCTGCCCCTGTACCATGTGCCCCCAAGTTTAGAGACAAATAAAAATACAAACTCTAGCAAGAACTTGTAATTTCTGGAAGTGCTACTCTTCATTTTAACAAAGTTCTCCATCTTGAAGACCTTAATAAATGGTAGTTGACCTGGAAAATATTTCTTCTTCCTCTTGAGTGGCACAAAGGAAAAGCACTGCTTTCCAAGCTCTCCAAACATCACTACATCCTGAAATTGATAAAACTACTACGATTTCTAATTTCCAAGTGTGGTGGTGTCCGAATCATGGCATGTCGGTGAGAGAGTTCCTCATGTATTCAATGGATCTGTTTGCATTTACTCATGAATACCACTGCTTTTGGTACAGGACTAGGGGAAATACTACTGACCTAAAAGATTATCAGCACTATGTACCACTTCTCCAAAGTGGGGAGTGCCAGATGATCCCGGAGGTTCAGGAAGACTAGGAGAAACTGTACACATACACATGCACACAAAGTGTCTATCTCATTGTTCAAGTTTCTAGTACACAGCACACTGGTACATTATACAGTTAAACATGTATATGTTGTTAAAGTTCTAACGTTATTGGTTATTTTGTTTCTCCATCTCTTTAGCTTAAATTTCTCTTAGCTGTTGTATACAGCAGAGATTTCTCAATGTTTTTTTGATTATGCTTTCCTATAAAAAAAAAGCAATCATGGATTTAGGCTGGCACCACTGTCTGTGTGAAAATTTTAGTTGGTATTCAAATCCATATGGGGAGGAGAGCCTTACTGATTCTCCAACATACAAAGATGAAAATTTTATCACTTAGACTGGCCAAGCTGGAAAATGTCTTGCTAATTTTGATTCTGGCTGTGGTCTGGCATTTGGCCCATTGGGAATACAATTATAAGGTCATATGCAGTAACTTTCTCTTCTATATTACCTCCCATTGTCAGCACACCCTGGACTTAGGCAGTCAGCTCAGAAATCAGTAAATCCCCTGATTTTCCTAACTTACATCCAATAGTCAATCATTGGAATCACTAACTTGTCAACATCTTAAACTCCCCTACCATCTTTCCTGCCTAACAGAACCCCAAATTTGGAGGAGTTAATTGAGTTGTATTCTCCAGGACTATGCCTAGGCTGCTGGGTTAGGCTGGAGAAAATACAACTCAACAGACTATATTCTGTCACCAACCTGGGACCTGCAGAAACCCAGCCTTTTCATTAGTTAGCTGACTCAGTGAAAACAATTCCTTCAAATTGTCTTCTTTCTAAGCATCTGCTTATCATTCTTTCCCCTCCCTCACTTTACGTACATAAACTGCCTATCTCATCAAGCAAATGCAAGCCATTACATCTTGCCACCAACACTTTAAATCTGCCTGCATTTGTACCCATCCTCTGTGCATTCCTCTCTGAAAGAATGCTAGTGGTGTCTGTTAGCTAAAGTAATTCTTCTATCTTTGTGGAGGTTCCTGTATCCTCTGGACATATCAGGTACTAACTGCTATTATCCCTCTTTTTCTCTGTCTTTACTCTTTCACTTTCTACTTGCCCCTTTCCATCAGATAAAAAATTAGTAAGATCTCTCATGTAATAAGTAGTAAGGTCTCATGTAATAAATAACAATTCAAGAAACAAAAGCTTTCTTTAGCAACCACATCCTCTTCAAGCTCCCATCCTTTTTCTCTACTCCTTTTCATAGCCAAATTTTTGGAAAGTTTTTAATTGCTGCCTCCATTTATTCCAAATCCAATCAAATAATTCTCTTGATTCTGCCTCCTGAATATCTGTCAAAACCATTCACTTTTAGCTATATTCCTGCTCTGGTCCAAGCCATGATCACCCTTCCTTTGAGAGTAACTTCCTATCCTTCCTTCATTCACTGTTGCCCTCCAGTCTTTGCACAGCAACTAAAATGATACTGTAAAAAGACAAATCTCATCGTGTAACTCTTCCTTAAAAATCTCAAAGGTTTTCTATTGACTTAAGATAAAGTCCAATTATCATCATCTTGGTATATATGATCTATGGGATCTGGCCCCTATCTTAATTCTCTAACTTACCCTGGCTTCCTTATGCCATAATCAAACAAGTTTGTTTTCACTTCCATAAACTTTTGATGACTTTGTCAACTTACCATACTGCCTGAAAAATCTCTCTAGCACCACCTCAATCCTACTGACCTCATCTTTTGGGTTTCAGCTTAAGCTCACTTTCTCAGAGGAACCTTCCCTGATCCCCCCAGAGTAGGTTAAGTCTTCTAGATACATCCTTTCGTTGTACATTCTAAGTTTATTTGTAGCAATCATCATAATCAGAATTATTTACTTGACATTTATTTTCCTCGGTAGATGTAAACTTCACAAGGATTTTTGTTTTGTTCAGTGATTAATTACCAGCACTATGCTCACTGCCTGGGATATAGCAGGCGTTCACACATTTGTTGAAGGGATGAACGAACGAAATAAAGGGCATATTAAGAAAAACATGATAAAAAACAAATCCTTTACAGTGAGAACACACCTTCTTTTTATTCATATATTGAGATAAACTGCAAAGACTGAAAGACAGAAAATTCATCATAAATCATTCAGCAGAACATTCATTAAAAATCAAATGC